TTTCCCATTTGTGGAAATACTTATTAAATTTAATGCTAATGCAACAATAATATTTACTACATGCTTCACTGCTTCTTCATAGTTAAATGTAATTGAATTATGTTCCAATTCTATGTGGAAGCATCCCACATGAAGAACAAAGTCATAGAACAGACCCAGCAGCCCTGAAATTCTCTCTAGCAAGGAGTAATTAAATAAGCATTTGGGATCTTTCTTTACTAAATGAGCAGATAACAATCCGTACCTTTAATAAAATAAGCAAAGAACATAGCACAGTTTGTTGCAATCCCAGAACTAATTGCACCATATAAATGATGATGACCAACCACAGGGCTTACTTACTCAGAAACAATATAAAAATACAAATATAAAAACCATATAAACAGGTCTTAATGCACCACGATGAACACAGAGTAAAGCTGTCAGTCTTAGTCCTGGGAATGGCTAGTTCCATGCCAAAGAGTCCTGACTCTTCCTTTCTCACATGATCACTATGCTGAGCTGAATCCGCTGGAGCCCAGCAGTCACTACAACTTGTGTGTGTGAGAACACAGTGATGGGAAGGCGGCACAATTCCTTAACTAATACAACAATCTCAGAAATACCTGCCTAACTTACTGCTTAATAACAAGGACACCAATCAAGTATTTTATTTTTCTCATTGGTCCTTAGGTTCCCCTAAAGGTAGTTTCTAAACTATGACAGATACCCTAAGGAAAAATCCCTTCCCTAAGAGCACTCATAGCAGTGTAAGGCTTGCCATCCAGCCAAACAACCCAATAAAATTGCTGTATCTGCTGTCTTTTTAGTAGCTAAATTAGGAAGCCGGAGTGTTCTTCTTTTCTAATCTCATCTGAGAAGTAGAGAGACTTAATTTAAAGACATTTTGTTCAGTCAGAAGCATCTAAATGATCATCGATTGTTTTTCCTTAGCTGGGTGTGTGAGTCTCCTTAAAGCAGTAACCACTCATCATTTGTGCCCTGTCCCTGTTGCCAGACAGGCTAAGGGAGTTGTGTCAACATTTCTGGAATAAAAACTGCGTTTGAACAAGACAAACTTAAACTCTCGCACTTCTGTGAATCACAACAATGGCCACTGAATCAAGATGAAGAAGTTCAACTTCAGTCACTTTGCTTGGTTAGACACATCTATAAGAAAAATTAATCCAGAAAAAAATCCTTCTGCATTCACACTTCCCAGTAGCCGCACAATGCAGGACTCCTGTAAGAGATTTGTTGATAATTAGAATTCAAAGTTATGAGGAGGTGGGAAGCAAAGATGCTTTGTGATGTGATCCAAGTGTTGTAAATGGAGATGATTGGAAATTTTTCCTCAAATTGCACTCGCTCAGGGACGTGAACTAATTTGTTGGAGCCGAGACACTCTGTCACCTGTCCATCTGTGCTTAGCTCCACTCAGTGATGCTCAACTCCGGCACTTCATCTAGCGCTGCAGGATATGACATTCCACCAAGCACGTGCTCAGTGTATGGGTTTAGTTCATCTCTAGCATTATGAAAGGAAAAACATCATTGCATTTGAGGATAACTGCGAGAACTGTAAAGCAAGTCAATTACAATATGGTTTACTGCACTAGGAGGACTTCTTTTACTTGATTTGTTCTCCAGCATTCAGCTCGAGTTTTATGTATTCTGATTTTATTCTTTCATTTTCTGAAAAGTCATTAACATTTAGGAGTGCTTATAAAGCAGAATAAAATTTGGTTGCATATAGCACCTCTTGTACTTGGGCCACATGCTTTGCTTCTCAAACTAAACAATTTTGATTCTTGTGATTCCTGCTCTCATTTTTTTTCTAAATCAGACACCCTTTCACAGTACTGAAAGGAGACAGAAATGCAAAATACAAGTGCCTCTTAAGCAGCAGGTCACTGCAGGATCATCTCTGCTCTTAAATCTACAGTGTTTTGCCAGTATTTCCCTTTTCCCTATTGGAAGACCTGGCAAACCCTGGACCTGGTGTGATGTGCTCATAGGAAGAAATGATGATGGATTCTCTAAACGTCTCATATGAGATCAGAATTACTGCTGTCCAGCAGACAAATGACAAATGCATACATAACTGAGGCCAAGGGCAGTGTGTTGGGTTGAGGTCCCCACATTCTTTCCAAAGAATCACATTAAGGAGCAGAGCTGAACCGCCACTGACAGAAGAAAACTTCAGTTGGAGATGTGAAACACTTAATATGAGCTAGCTGCAGTTAAGCTATGTGACACATTCACAGATGTGCACAGGGCAAACATCTATCTAGAGGTGTTTCTCAGTTCCCCATTACAGACTGCACTGATTAATGCTACATATCTTCAAGTAAAAAAAATTGCTACGTGTCTTCTTTATTCCTATGACAGTATGGAAGTACGACAGCTTATGGAATTACTCTGCTCAGTACCTGGCCCCAGACAGGTCTAAAAGTGATTTTAATGAAGATGAAGTTACTGTTTTTCAATAAAAGCATAAGTACCTGCAAAAGGTCAATAAGATTTACTCTGATATAAGCCCAGAGATCATTTGTTATTGAAATGACAAAAAGATACCGTGTCTATAAAGCAGAGAGAATGACCAATTACACCACTTGTTTACCAGGTAACCCTTGGCATTTCCATAATTTTCTTAAGACTTAAGCTTTGTTTACACAATGTTAGCATGGAAGGCTCAGAAATAACCACCGATTATTGATGAAGCTTTCTAAAACATACTTCAAAAACAGTCTTCTTGTCCCTGATGAACCACTTATTCTCAAAATGTCAAAACATTGAGTCATATTTTTCATCAGTAGCTACAAAAACGTAAGAGTTATTGAAGTTTTAACTCTGCAGCTTCCACGACAGTTCTCTGAATCAAACCATTATTGAAATGAAGATCTAAAAAGGATTCCTAAGATATTTTTCATACTTCCTCCAATTGCAGGTCTATACGTATTTTCCAGGGAAGATACAGATCATTACAGAGCAAATTTATTAAAAGGACTGATTTTATTAATGACCTTTTACTCATCCTTTTGAAGTCATTCCAAACCCTGCATTGTCCCATACTACAAGTTGAAAACCACTGATGCAATACAACTATCTCTACACCAAAGGATATGAAGATCATCACCACCCACTCCAGGAATACATTTCCAGAGTTCTGTCACACCAGGCCTCAGTGCCAACATGAAACATTTTGAATCAGATAGCAGCTATCAAGAAAAAAAGAGAGAGATGAGCACTAGTACCTGGAGGAGGAGAAAGCTGTTTATGAAAGCCATCAGTGGTTTGCAGAAAGAATCCTGAGAAACCGCTCATCTAGCAGGATCTTACATCATTGTTCTTGAGCTGTTGCATTGCCTCAGCATGTACCTCACTGACATCTGTGCCTTTACTGTCTCATAAAGCTTGATGCCTATTATTTGGCCTACAGAACAGCATTAATTACAACCACTATTCCCAAAAAGTGGCTGAATACCCACTGAATCTCACTTTGTGCTGTTTGTTTGCAAACAAACCCATTAAGTACCGGTGTAGAAGTCTACTGTTATTACAGTGACTATGAAAGTTATTATAAAGATGCAAATTTCATAAAGGTCTATCATTTTGTAACTAGCAGTACAATATGAAAACCATCTAACTTGAGCAACTCATTGTGAGGAGCTTCCTTTTTTATTTTTGCCCCTAAGTCTCTTTGTTGTGTACCAAGCTTCATCTAATTGACTTGGAACGATGGGCAGGGGAACAGTTCTAAAATGAGTACTCCATGAACTTCCCTTACTCTCTCCCAGGCAATTCTCTTGCCCTCTGAAGAAGGGACTCAATGCCTTACTGTACTCTACACAGCCTTTAAACACATATTTGGAACATGCATGTCTCCGAGTTGTGCTACATCTTTTCTAGCTTCTGTGGTTAATCAGGTATGAGACACAGGCATTCCTGCTTGATTTCTGGCCACCAATCCATACATTTGACACAATGTTGGCTTGAATTTTAAGTAACAACTTCCTGTTTGCCTGGTGCCATTTGTGATGGGTAGAAGTGATAGAATTAAAAAGCTACTAACTATTCTGTTCGCTTACAGGCTTTGAAGACAGGGTGAGGGAGAGGGGCTAACAGAAACTGTATCGCTTGCTGCTTGCTTAGATCCTCCCATAGAAGAGTAATTCCATAAGAGTTCCTGTTATCTACACCCTGCAGGTAAAGCCAAGAACCAACTGTCTTAAACACTTGTCCTTGTAAGTAGGAAGACCTCCTTGACAGAATCTATAATGACCCTCTTCTTTCTTCCAAATCCTTTTGAAACACTGAAGCGAAACTTACAAATTGATTGTAACTAGCCCTGAGGCCCCAAACCCTTGAAATAACTTATTCAATGTGTGCTCATAACCTGGAAGGCCAGCTGTATTCTGAGCCGCATCAACAGAGGAGTAGAATCAGGAAAGGGAGGGGATTGCACCCCTCTGGTCTTCCCTTGTGAGGCCCCATCTGCAGTAATTGTGTCCAGGGCTGGGGCCCCCAGTAAAAGAAAGATATGCAACTGTTGGAGCAGGTCCAGAGGGCCATGAGAACAAGTACCTCTCCAATAGAGACAGACTGAGAGTTGGAGTTGTTCAGTCTGGAGAAAGTTCTGGGAGACCTCATTGTGGCCTTACAGTACTTAAAGGAAACTTATAAACAGAAGAGAGACTGACTTTTTACACAGTCTGATAGTGATAGGACAAGTGTGAAGCTTTAAACTAAAAAAGGGGAGATTAAGGTCAGATGTCAGAGGGCTGTAAGACCCTAGCAAAGGTTGTCCAGGAAGCTGTGGGAGACCCATCCCTGGTGGTGCCCACAACCAGGCTGGATGGGACCCTGGGCAGCCTGACCTGGAGGGAGCAACCAGCCCACAGCAGGGCGTGGGGCTGCTGGTAAGTTTAAGGTACGTTCCAATCTAAAACATACTCTGCAATTATGTTATTTCATTCATACACTTGTAATGCATCATTACATTATCTGTATAGCACTTACCATAACAGGATTCTGATCTTCATTGTTGTAGCACCAAGGACTCTTAACGACATGTAACCTAGAAGATAAAGTGACCAATCTTACTGTAGGAGCAGTAATACACAGTGAGCCAATTTAAGCTCTCATAAAGTGAGTAGCCCAAATAACATGGTAACAACTAAGAAAACAGAGACAAATAAGGAGCAGTTCATTGGTAACAAACCCATACATAACGCATACGCATACGAACATCCACAGACACAGAGAAACAATAGTAAGGAATGTTGTAATACTTGAACAAACCATTATCCAATTCTGCTGCCTCAGCTGATATGACAGGCTCCTGAAATAGTTTTTAGTAAAATCAGATCCCTGTTCAAAATTCCTCTCTACTTGTGATTCCAATTTGCACTTCCTATGAGAATAGCTGCTCTTGGGTGCTGTGTACAGGCAGGTAGAAAGGCAGCTGCCTTGTTGATGGGGTCCTGCCATTGGCCCCATTTCTCTTTGCTATCAGACCACCACAGAAAGCCTGAGGACAATCAAATTCATGTTGAATCTTTAAAGCAAGACTCGAGATTGCTTTGTTGAATAATTCTCACCAGTGAATACCTGCCTCCTATGGCAACACCAAGCAACAAGAAGAAATAAAATTATTTAATTTCAAAGCCACAATGTGAACATCCAGATTTTAAGAGGAAGATGTTCTGCCATCAGCCATGAGGGCAAGTTCCGCAGCTTTCCATTCTGCTTTTACTCAGTCTCCTTATTCATGTTTCCACTGTCACCTCTAATCTTTAATCACTGGGCTTGCACTGTCTATGAGAAATCTTCAGGAGCTTCTGAGCCCTTTATCTTTGATATGTGAACAAGCAGGGACTATCAGATGGGATTTTTAAACATGCTGTGTTGAGAACTCTCAGTGAATTCGACAGAAGGACTACACAGGTGAAGCTAAGAATTGGAAACATAATATCCAAACCAGCATTTCCAAATACTTCATGCCAAAGGCTAAATCTCTCATTGTATTTTCTCTTGCTCCCAAACTTACCCTCTTTCACACCCAGTCGTGGTTTCTCTATCATAATTACGATTGTGTTAGCAGAAACTGTAAAGCAATAGCAGAGAAGAAACAAGTACATGACTCCCCTAATTGCAGTGGGGACCAGTGACCTTTTTACAGATCCTCAACTTTGCAATCTGACAACGTCAATAAGCGGCCTCACCAGTGCTGAGTTTCTCCCAAACTGGAAAGCAAAATTTTGACAAGGTATACCAAGCTGCTGCTTTCTCCAAGGATCAATTTCCCACTTGGAACAAAACAAGAATCTCTTGAGTGCTGCAATTAGCAGCTATGAAAAAACAACAGACTGGGGAAGCTGCTGGTTTGGGTACCTAGTGGCATGGTCTCACTTGTTTAATTAAATGATATTATTTTGTTTGAGAGATCTTGGACTGTGTCTTGAACAAGAGACATGGTACAACAATATTTTTCCTAAAGATTTCCACTTTCTTCCCAAATGACAGGGTTCTTCTCAATGAGAAGGCTGTAGAAAAGACCCTGCATAAACATCGCCGAATTAATTACAAAATAATTACAACATTATAGTGAATCCATTGATTTAATGGATTCACTATAATAATTCACTCTTTAATTCCAAACTGCCTCCTTCCCAGAAGGAACAAACTGTGAGTTAGACTCTTAAGTATACAATTAAGCCTGCCAAGTTCTGATTCCATAATATGCTGCTTAGTATTGAACATCTATCAGTAAGCCAGTATGCAGGATTAATGTCACAGTGATTTGGTTTTGATTCCTCATGAAACTATAAAATGATTTAGCTGATATAAGCAACACGATATTTATAGTCCTTTCAGCAAAAGGTTTAATGCTAGGCAGGATACTTCCCCTTCCCTCCAATATAACAGCCTTCCCTTGCCTTTACAGATTCCAATTGGTGAGTGGAGCTCTGTGCATTCCATGTGGAATTTACTCAGTAATTCTATTAAAAGCTTCCCTTCCCAGAAATCAATGTTCTCATCTCACTCACTACTCATTCATTACTTAAAACAGAATACCTAACCTCTGCCTATATTAAGTTTCCTCAAGGGATTTCATATTTATTTCAAGGAATTCAGGAGACTAAGCTTCAACACTTCTGTGTTTGCAGAACTACAAAAATCTTAGTCTTAAAGTTAGAACAAAGCTTTGCCATTTTTTTTTAATTTTTGAAAAGGAGAATCATTTGAAAATATCAGAGCCTTCAAAGGAGGCCCTTTACTTCCATTCCTCACCATTTTCAGGTCGCACTTCAGATGACATTTAGGATGAGCCAGTAAAGTTTCTAATGGTATCAGCAGTTTCCTAGGCCTGTTCAGTCGACTAGCTTTAACTAAGAGCTCCCTCAAAAAAGACCTTTGATCTAGTACCACCAATGCCTGCAGTTAAGCACCAGCACCAGCACCAAGACCGGGACCCAATACTGGAGGAAATAGAGTCCACGGTAGAAGAGTTGCCTTCATTTCCTCTCCTAGATTTTATCTTCCCAAGTACTGTAATAAACAGAACTATTATTAATCTTCATTGCTTGTGTTTTTTGATAACCTACAACAAAGCCATCTGGGATGTGACACCCTCTGCTGTCGACTATCACAAAGCTCATCTAGTTGTATACAAAGGAGCACATTTACACCAGTGCTGGCTCTGACAAGACTGGGCTGCATTTCTGAAATTTATGAGGGCTGCTCTGAAAATAATGCCTCCTGTTTTATTACGTTGGCCCATGTCATCAGAGGCAGAAGGTGGTGGTGCAGCAGAATTTGGGCAGCAGAGGGTCAGTCTGACAGAGCAGAGCCTGACATGGAAGTGCATTCAAAGCAAAGGTGTGGAATTGAACTCCTGCATGTGGAAAAGACAACACCCACTGCTATTCATTGACACTGAACACGTATGGAGACCAAGCAGTGGATGTGAGCACAGTGAGGGGTGGGAGCTTCATTTCAGTACTGGCAACAGTGGGTCACCTCTACTGGTGCAGATTTTTACAAGCGTGGTGTGCAGGCTCTGGTTCATAGTAGGTGAAAACGCACAGCTAATGGTGGTGATTATGTTGGAAAATAGTGTGTTGTAGCCAGCAATGCGCTCCATCCAATGGTGCTTTTGTGCTCTTTGTAGCTGTTGTACTTCCCACAGAAATAATCACACAATCACAGAAACACCAAGGTTGGAAAAGACCTACAAGATCATCCAGTCCAACCATCCACCCATCATCAACAGTCCTCTCTAAACCATATCCCTCAACACAACATCCAAACCTTCCTTGAATAAATAGGTTGCTCCAAAAGTAGTACCTCCTATGTAGTTCCCACATCATTAAATCCACTGAAAAATCTACCTAGGCCCATTAACTTAGTAAACACATTTAGAAGAGTATGTAGCTACACCTCTATGGAAAAAACCACTTCAGCATTCTGATGTTATACAAACCAAGATGAAGTGATCTCGTGACTGTCACAAAAATACAGTATGTCATCCACCTGCCAAGCAGACTACTCACATACTCAATGCATTTTAGAAGGATCACGCAGGAAGAGAGATGTTCACCTGTTCACAATACCCACCCTCTCAAATGTTCTCCCTGATTGGTTCAATTCAGGGAACAAACTGGGAGGAGTGATCTAAAGAAGCTGCACATCTACATTCCCTGAGAAAACAAAAGAGCTGATTTGCTTCTGATTTCTGTTAGCAATCAAATAACTCTCATTTTCTCATTAATAAGAAGAGGTTTAACAGCACAGTATGGACTATGAACAACTCCAACTATGGAGTTGTTCCTCCTTCACTCACTTCTTGCCTTGGGGAAGCAACAGAGAATAAACTCTACATGACAGATGCTAGCCACAGTGTTTAAATTTGTTCAAATCTTTCACGCTAAAAAGAATTGAGAAAATGTGATTAAATGAATAAAAAACTGTAACAAAGTGAGATTAAGGTACTACTCAGAATTTCAGAATTAGTGAAGCCTTCAAACAATATCCACATTAATTTATAGCTCAGTACATTCATTTTTTAAGCCCAGGTGTGATTCCATAAGAATTCTTAGGGAGTTATTACATCCAGAAATGCAAAGCATCTAGGGTGAAGTGAATGCAATTCTTTATTGCACTCACTTCAGGAGGTTCACTGTGATACAACAGCAGTTCTGAAATCTACGGCATTAGCATTTGACTATATTGTAGGATACTGTAATGGAGAACAAGTCCTGACAGCTGGCCCAGAGAAATTCAGGAGTCAGTTAGGTTTTTTTGATGGATAGAGAGAAAGCAAACAAGGGTCAGGTGGCAGACTGGACAACGACTACACAGTCTCATGCATCAGAGCATCCGCTGCACGTGCATTAAAAGACTCAGTAAGAGGTTTTTGCAACAAGCAGCTCCTGCTATATCCAACCTGGAGCTACATATGCAAACCTATATACTGTCTAGATTGCTTTCAGACTGGAGAACAGCATAAGAATTATTTCCAAATCATATTTAGAGATTGTGAGGATTTTCAAATTGTGTCAGATCAAGACTTACTAATTCGTACTCAAAGTTTCCAAGCATAAACCTTAGCTATCCTACCATTTCTTAGTGGCCAAGAAATTCAATAAATCAACTGATGTATCACAAGTAGAATCTGACTCATTCATTCAGTGTGAAGATGAAACACATTCATATAGGAGATATTTTTAAATATCAGATTCTTAGCTTTCCTTGAGTTAATTTGCTTATATGACTTTGTATATATGAAAGTGTGTCAGCTGTGTAAACTTCTCTTTTTCCCATCTATCTTTTTTAAGAGCCACGCTTCAAAGGTCAAGAGGATTTTTTTAAACTGAACTCAGCATACAGATCCTTTAAACTCAGGGAAAAAAATTCTAATCCTAATCAAAGTAAAGGAAAAGCACAGCTGCTTTCAGTGGACTCCACTGGGCATTCGGTTAGGACAAATCAGGGGCTAAGACAGCTATTGGCTGGTTAAATGTGCAAATCTGGTATTAATTAAAATATTTAAAGTACTTTCCAGTATTCTTTAGATTCCTGGAAAGTCTGAACTCACTGCCTAAAATTAAAAAAACAACACAGGAATTGTCCTCGTAGGAATCTTTGCTTTGAATTAAGGACTATCAGTTGCCCAGTCATTGCCTACTGATCAGCTCACATGCTCTGCACATGAGGCGTGGGATGCCTCAAGTTCCCACAGAAATCCAAACAAGAAGGAAAATATATTCCATTTTGAGTATAACTGTTAAAAATACAGTGCAAATCTCCAGCCTCAGTGCAAATCTGGAACAAGTACACTGACAGCCATGACTATCCTCAAAATACAACAGTTTAATTGATATTAGAAAAAATTCATTTATATACAATTTCTGACACTTTTTCTCTAAGATATTAAGACAAAATTCAAGAGAAGGCATTCTCATGGAAGAAGGCTGAAGTAACAGCTTCCCCTGAAGCCACCCCAAAGAAACCCAAAGAACTGAAAACAAGGCTCTTATTGCGTATCTCCTGTTCCATCACTTTAAGTTGAATGGGGTAAGGGGAAAAAGTTCTGCAAGATGATCACTTTCTGTTAAATTCATGATAGTAATGAGTTACTTTGCAAACAACAACTGACTTCATTCCTTTTTAATCTTATTATGGGGTCTTGCCATTGTCTGTACAGATGCAAAGTGGTGCCTTTCTTCGCCTATGCTCAGCATTTGTTACCAAACCATAGCTGGAATAGTGAAATTGCTACAAACCTGCAGCCAAAGAAAGATATCACTATGGAGATTTTCACTCCTTCTTTTATGCATTACAGAAGATGCCACGAACAAGTTTGCTCTGCAAGCCAGCAAGAGCCCACAAGTGAGATGAATCCTGCATTACTTCCGTGTACGAGCAATCTTTATTTCCTAAGTTTTGTTCCCAAGTATTGTCATCAGCAAGGATGTGATGTTCCCAAGGAACCACTAGCCCTGTACCTGCATCTGCAGCATGTTTTTAGTAGTATTGTGTAGAAGAATATCCTAAAAAGACAGGTTAGAGAAGGAGTCTGATTTCCCATTACAGCATAATACTTTTTGAAACACAGCAGCAACATAGCTATGCTTTAGTATCCACTGCTACATATTCCATATTCTAGCAGGCTGCTTACAGAAATCTACGCCAAGAAAAAAGTAATTGTAAGATAGAAACTGTTCAGTTCCTTTCAGAATAAGAATCCATAGTATAAACTTATTTAAAGATAATCCATTATATTTTTCATTTTATTCTTTAGCTTGATAAACCATCTCTTTGCATTTACTCTCTAGTGCTCATGTTACAGAAGATACCTGAGCTTCTTCCCATAAAGAAAAAAAAAAAAAAGCTTCCCTTTTTCTATGCTAGTTTACATAAAACCCAACACAACCTCCTTAGAGAATGGAAAAGCAGTAAGTTCTGTGAGTCCACTACGGATATAAGAAGATCAGCAAATAATCAGTGTTAAAGCACATGGAAAACGCAGATCCCTGATATCAATGAAAAAAGAAAACACAAGAAAAGAAAGAAAAAAAACCAGCAACACACATCAACTACATCAAACACATCAACCACATTACCTCACAGCTATTTGCATAAGGGTCCAGAGGCAGTACAGTATAAGTACAGAGACACAAGCTATCCAAAGAGAACTTAGCAACGGTTCTATTGGATACTGCCTGCTTCTGTAGCAGAAGAGGAGCAACTTTGAAGCTCAGATGTGCAAACAGCTTTAAAGGCAGACGCATCCAGCAGAAGTCTAAAACTACAAACCAGGTAATCATTTCCTTTTTAGCTGATTCTAACTTTCCTTCTAAAGATTGCTCTGAGACAAACAGCCTATGCAATAATCTCAGGGCTGTAATCGCCTGTTTAAAAAATGCACAGAACTTCACAACACTGTGCATTTAAGTTCTTTATGCTTTATGTTAAGCTAAATGATTTGTATGGTAATATTAAAGATACATTCCATTCTGTTGAAGGAACCCACTTACTGGGAAATAAATCAGTGGTAAGTGCCTTAGAAATTCCAGCGTTTAGCTAGAAGAAATAGACAAACACTTGTTATCTAGGCAAACAGTAATAAAGAATATGATGATTATTATGTGTCTGAAAAATGTGTGATGGTTTCCCAATGAAATAAATCTCTGTAGCTACACAGAACAGCTATCTTCTTAAGCAGAAGAAGATATATATATCTACAAGCAGCTGCTTCAAATGCACAGAAAGAGATATTTAAAAACTAACAGGCTAGTGAGAACAGGCTTTATCTGAAGGCAGAATGGAAGTGCTGTAAATCACAACATCATTTTAAAAAGAACCCATCGCAAAGGAATTGCCTGGTGGGCATTGCTAGTGATACATCTGTGCACCTCATGCATGGCAACAGTTAATACAGTGTTTAAGAGGGAAATTATTTTTGCCTCTTTACAAAAGGAAAAACAAAATTTCTGGCTTTCAAATCATCTGTACAACACGAAGTTAGATGTTTGAAGTGTTAATTTATACATATAAGAAAAAAATGAACAAGTGCCTGGTTCCAATTATGAGGAATTTACATATTCTTGGAAGAATATAACAGAAAACAGGAGGGATCTTCATAAGACACTTCAGTCTACGTATCAGTGACAAATTTCTTTTTCAGTGTCTGGAATCATGGCCATTATTTCTAGATTTAACTCCAACCTCCTCTCCCACTGTTCTCTCTCCCATGGAAGTTGCAGGAAATCAGAATGCCATCTATCCAGCTGCCAGTGCTACTCCTTTGCCTGACCTTGTCTGGTGTTTGCCTCAACGGCAAGCAGTCCCCTCCAGAAGTAAGTGAAAAAACGGGAAGAAGTTCCCTGGATGACATCCTGCAGAGATCTAGGAGCCACATGCTTCCATCTGTTGTCAAGAAAGTTGAGAAGAAAGAAGAGATGAATAAAGGTATATATAACACTGGGGACATCCCTATAGAAATATTGGTGCACTCCTTGGCTGAGATTATTAGTCAGTGTATTTATTTCACAGACTCTAATTGCGGATATTCATTACTCTAACAAAGAGAAGGAAACGGGCACACAGTCTGTTGTAATACACTGACACAGTTCTCAAAAGAGGCTTTCTTCTCTAAGATCTCCCAGCTTAAGCAGTACCACAGCATTACTAAGTAATCTGCTGTATGGAAAAAAAAAAAAAAGAAAAAAAAAAAGGTAGAAGCCAGCCACGGTATCTGCCAACCTGGCAAGCACTTTTCTAGGGAAATCCTAAAAGGAAGACATTCATGGAAGACATTTCCCACTTTTTGACCTTGTACCTAATGAGGTAGGAGTGCTCCCATTCACCTATTGCCTCAACCTTCAAGCTTCCACACTCCAACAAAGATGGGCTTTACTATGGCTGGGAATGTAGAGGCAGCATTAGTGTCACCTGATAGCTTGCAGATGCTCTTTTCTCACCAGTCACAGCACTGGAAGCAAATCAGGCTCAGTGGCAAGCAGCAGCACACAGGGGCTTGCCACCAAAGAGGAGCACAGAGACCTTGAAGAGGGGGAAGAGGAGCTGGCCTCAAGTGGCCTTGGAAAGAGACTTCCTGCCTCTTCACATGAATGCTGAGAGTTTGTGACATCAAACTAAGATCTGAAATATTAAGCAGAGCTTAAGAATAAGAAAGAGATACCAATAGAGTTAGGATAGTCGGAAATACTGACTTTGCATTCAAATGTACACACTCCTGCTTCTACTCTTACCTCAGCCCCACCTTTTCTCCATCTCATGACCATGTCTAGCTTTTCCTGTGTACCCAGCTACTGCAGCTGATGTCTGCCAGCTGCCCCGTATCTTCAGCTCACCTCGTTTCAAATCAACACACCAAACTTTGTTATTGCATGCATTCCCACTTTTTTGCAGCTAGTTCCTAACACATCAATCCATCCTTGGTAAAAACTGTGTCAGAATTGTTTTGACAGAGGCCCTGCAGAGTGATCAAATTCAAGACCACTGTTAACAATGTAATTAAATGCGTATAACAAACAGCAGACTATGATCTGTACTCCACAGACCTTAGTACTCCACAGACTCACACTTCAAGTTCTTTAGTGAGGATGTATAGGGGTTAATTAACATTATTCTTCTCCTTGGACAGAACTAAATGTGCCTCTACCACAACGGCTTTCCAAAAGACAACATCCTGGAAAAAGATACATAAGCGACCTAGAGAAGAGACAGCATCCTGGAAAAAGGAATGCTGAAGAAGAGGCATCTTTTGGAGACATTCAGAAGAGACAGAATTTAGGGAAAACAGAAGTAGAAAGCTACCTTGCCAACTACCTGGAGCTGAAAAAGCGACAGCATCCTGGCAGAAGGTCACTGTGGGACCAGTCCACTGACATCTCTAGTTCACAGCTAACTTACTTAAATGAGTTATCCAGGAGGCAGCATCCAGGCAGAAGATATCTGATGTATAAGCACCAGCATCCTAGCAAGAGAAGCTGGAATGATGAGCTAGACCTAGATGATCAAAACTGGGAGAAAAACCAGCACTTTGGAAAAAGGGACAGGGATTCTGACAGCCCAGATCATGCAGGTCCCTGTGATCTTCAGCATTCTGCCATTTGTAACAAAGGAAGCTTGTTACTTGACTTAGCAGAAAAATCTAGTAAAGAGAGGTTAGAAGAAAAACGTCAGCACCCAGGAAGGAGGTCAGCACAGGGAGAACAAAACAGAGGAATGAGAAAGTAATTGTTTATCATTTGAATATGGTGAAGTAAAATGACAGAACAAAAAAAAATGTTTATTCCCTTCTGGCTTCCTGCTGCTGACCTCCAAACCTATCTTTCAGTGAGTGAGTGTCCTCATCTAAACCAGTGGTTTTGTCACACACCTCAAGTAAAGGAACTGGGAAGCACTCAGCTGAATAGAATAGGTGAGTAGTGCGCTTTCACCTCCCTCACTCTGTGAAATTAAGAATACTCAGTTCCTTTATGGGCCTAGAGCCTAGAATATTCACGTTACCTGTGAACTACAACAAGCTCTTTAATATTCGTTCTGATGTTACTATACTAATTACATCATTTCCTTTCGTGTCAGTGAAATCAGTACATGATTGGGAAAAAAAAAGGAACACATGCAAATGATTTCAAAATGAAACTGAAAGGCTTTTCAATTCTAAACGATACGTTAATGAGACCTCATGCATTACAATCTATCCAAACAATAAGAACTGAACAGATAAGGAGACTGCTCCAACTGCAACAGGTAAGATTACTGGCTTCATACTTTGACTTGGAATTGAAAAACAAAAATTTCATAAAGGAAGCTGCAGAGTGCAAAGGGTTACTGCATCCCAGAATAACTCAATCTCCCAGTTGTGAAGTTGGCTGTGTACACCTCACCTTAGAGCCTCCATCCTGATGCGTTAACATTTCAGTCATTCTCCTTGAAATATGTCTTCTCTTTAGATATGTAAAATGGAAACAAAAAGAAAATCCTTTCTTCAGTCAGGATTTCTGAGTTCTTCCCTCTCAAAGGAATGCTTTCCCTTCTGTGATGAGACTCACAAAAGTGTTTATTTGATATAAATGATTCAATAAACATAAAAAGTAAACTCCACATCCTTACTGGTTGTGCAAGCATACTGTAGCAGAGAGAAAAAAACAATCCAAGCTAAGTCAAAATAAATAAATGAACACTAGGAGATACTTTTCTAGGTAGAAGCTTCTTGCATGCTGGTCAGCCCTTGTTTATTTGTAAGACTGGTTTGCTAGCAAACAAATGTATTCCCTTTTAAAATCCACTACCTGTATGACACACAGGAACAGACAGCAGGGTTAAGCCCATAGACATTTTGTCATCCAGTTCATAAGGAACTTCAGTTGTTTGAGTCTGGTCTTGGCAGGCAAAACTGGTTAGAAGCAGACTTGTTTTGAACAAAAGAAGAAAGCTCAACTGATCTATGCTGCTCAAACCTTCTGAGTTCCATAACCTTTTGCAACTTAGCTATACAGCAAGTCATGCTAGCATGTAAATCACTGAAGAGGAAACCGAGAATTCAGTGTGATTGATTGTGATTGATTACTACGCGCACACATACACGTCTCTTAGAATTGTACAAACAATCATTTATTTGAAATTAAAATACTTCTATATGTATTTGCATGGTCTGCAAACACCAGTCTTCTGTGTTTTGTTCAAGGTCTCCGTTTTATAAAGATGTCATTACGTGAGGTACGTACCTCATGCACTGTGCTAGCAGTAGAGAGAACAAAAATTACAACTCTGATTTCCTGTTCACAAGCCTAAACATAAGATCTACTGATTTTTGCAACTAATGCATTTTTACTGTGAATTGAGAGTTATTCACATTACTTTCCTGTACACTTGAATAGGTTACACCATGTCAGTATTTCAGTAGAATGTTATTTTCTAAAGAACGAGCACGTTCTCTACTCACAGTGATCTCTCAATATCGTCAAAGCATGTGAAGTACCTCCAATGTTCTTTCTAAAACTGACTGCTTCCTCACTCTGTCTCAGAGCACTTCCTCAGCTACAGAAATCAGTGATGCCAGTGGGCTTAGCTACCTTGAAGAAAAATAATTAACTACATCAGCAAGCTTGACTGAAGTCAAATGCTCCCAGGCCGATCAATGCCCAGCATGGTCTATCGAACAATCTGTAGCTCCAGAGATAACACATCGTTTGGGATATGACAGCTGGCAACCTCTTCGTTGACAGGGACTTTCTGATTAATGAATGCAAAACAAACCCTCAGAGGGCTGAGATGGGAGCACACTGTACTGCCTGAGTTTCTTCAGCATATTTTCACTGTAAGGTGCCTTTTAAAATGTTCAGGTTTCATTTCAAAAGGGAAGAAAAGATTCATCTAAAGAATACCATTTCATATAAAATTTCCTGCAAGGAATGAATGCCTCTGAAATATCAAGAAAACTTGGTAGTGCTACACAATACCACCAATACTTGCTAAAATATATATATATAAAATAAAGGGGAAAAAAACAGGAAAGAAATAATTACCAAGTGAGTAAATGGGCAATAGCAAAAATGCATACCAGTATAAAGATTGTGCTTGCTAGACAAGGATGCTGTGGAATGGCTAAACAAAAGCCAGGGTTGAGGAAGGGAGAGAAGGGGGGGAACTGCCTCAGATCAAAGTTGCTATAGTGCAGCTGCAAACAGCTGGTTTGTCCTGCTTGGTTTTGCTCATACAACCTGCCATCCTGAGCAAATCACATACAAAATTTATTACAATAAATCAATCATTTATTAAGAAGTGTGTTCTCTCACTGTGGTCAGTGAAAGCTAGCACAGATTATTTTATGCAAGTCTATTTCTTCCATTAGCTGTACTTTAGGCTTCAGTGCATACAGAACTGCCAGGTTAGGCCAGAGGATCATCATCTGTTCAAAAGCTCTCACCATGACAGTTTTGAAGGAATTGATTGCATTGGTTTAGAGCTTTTTTTTTTTTTAACTCCCCAAAAGCAAAATCTAAGCTGACAGCAATTTACTGTAAATCAGATTTATCATTACTTCATAGAATCATAATTATCATTACATCTACAATTTTTAAGATCTCCCTTGATTTGGAGCTTGTCTGGCTGGAATAACGTAAGCAGACAGACACTAGGAGAGCTCTGACCTATTTCAACTACTTTCCTGAAGTTTCACTACTCTAACAAAAGATCTTTGGAAAATGACAGAAACACTCCCAGGGATTCCTGGGCATATGTAAGTAATCCCCATCCCAGCTATTGAGACACTGAGCAGTTGATTACAAAAGAACAGTAGAAGAGTCTTCAGAATGAGCTTTGTTTTCAAAAGGAGGGGAAAGTTGGAGCAAACAAACTGTGCAATTAACATTTCCTTCTTTTTTAACTGCTCTGACCATTACTGTTCTATTCCCCCACACACACTTTTGCTAAACTATTGCAATTAGCTCGTGCTGAGTGTTTCCAAGGGAACGTACCCTTTATTACTACTTTTAATGACTTTTACTTGGAGAAAGTTCAACAACAAACTTAACATCATAGCTGAAGCAGAGTCACTACTTGAATGGTAACTCAGCTAATGCTAACCTGCCAACTAAAATTTCCAGGTACCTGTCAGGGCACTGCTGTGAATGAAAACTACAAAAAAAGCAGTTGTAGCAATTGAACAGATCAATACAATGGGAAAGGCACTAACAACAAGGGCATGGTGATGAAAGGACTAGCACAATGGAGAGGTGCTACAAAGGAAGGGAATTAGATTGCTCACCCGCATCAAAGGATCCTAGGATCGAAGTGGAAAGCTTCGCCAACGAAGAATCTCCATGCAGACCCTTCCCCCGTGGAAGACGGCCCTTACATGAGCTCGGAGGGGAGTGCAGCCACGCTGTACCCCTTCCTGACACACTGCTGAATTGTTTTCACCTGTGCTCCCAGGGCTGACTCAGTCCTTTCCCCAGGTGCTCAATCAAAGATTCACGCTGTGAGTCAACAGTTCCCATACAGCAGTCAAGTGGAGAAGCACAGCAAGTACAGCCTGAACACAGATATGACAAAAAAAGATATAGAGGGGAGCATACTTGTTTTTTTGGAAATAGATGGACAGTATTCACTCAAGTGCTAAAGCCCCACTTTCAACAAGAAGAGAGTGAAGGCCCCACACTTACAGGAAGGATTCATTCTTACAAGGAAGGATTCAGGCTGAACACAGAGGTCTCTGATAAAGATAGATGGAGAAGTTCCTTGAGAACACTGTGCTATCTACAGCTCCCTCACTGAGACAAAGCATGTCAGATACTAATCTCACGTGCTGATCTTAGCCAGAAGGTAAAGACAGCTCTCGAGTTCACTGCAGCCACTTTCATTTGAGCTGACACGAGTGAGCCAGACAAGAAAGCTGGCACAAGAAGTGCTTGGTGACATGAGTAGCACCTTCCTTTGCTACTCACAGGTAACAAAACATTGTGCCTTCCTCATGTTCACATGAAAAGATGGCAATCTGGTCTGAAAAAGGACAAAACTGGAAAACACACAAATACTCCTGCAAAATGGGATGGAGGTAAACCAGGTATCAATTTGTCATACCAGAGGAATTTAGTTGATTGCCATCATTAATGGATATCCTACCTGAATGTAAATGAGTATGACTCAGTACAAACATTTTAATAGATAAAAGATATTATGGAAAATGTGAAATCATGAGAAGCAAAACAAAGGAAAGTGACCTTCTTTGAATAGGATATCTGAAATATGATTGTTTGAAAGAAATTTCCACAGAGAAATTTATGCTTCCACCATCAGTTCCCTTTTGACTCAGAAACCACTGCTGATGTGTAAGATGCCTGAAGGAACTATTGTAAAAAAAAAAAAAAAAAAAAAAAAAAAAAAAAAGAGGGGGAGAAGGAGGAAGGCAGAAGAAAAAAAGATGACAAATAAAAAATAGAATCGGACTGTACAAAAAATTCTCAGAGACAAAGCAGCCAAGAAAAAAAAAACCAAGCACGCCACCAGGAGAAGCTCTTTGGCAGGTTGTATTGAAGAGGACATCAACAGCAGCCCTGCTGAAGAACCACAAATCATTCATTGTTAAGCAGCCTCCTCCTCTTGTGAAGCAAGCAGGTAGCAGTGAGGAGGTATCCCACTTACTGACTTCAGATGTGCTGCTCAAATGGGAATTGGCTCCTAAACAACAGGCAGAACAGAACAGAGGCTGCTCAATATGGGCCTCCTCGAAATCTGAAATGGATCTCAAACATTATGTAGACGTTGTGGTGTGCAGATCCTACAGTTACAACATTAAATAAAATGTAAACACGGGAATTCTGATGTTTCTGCTTCTCTTTATAATGTAGCTGCTCTGTTTAAAATGCTGCTATTCCACAAAACTCAATACCAGTAGGCCAGAATCTTTTGCTGTGTCAAGGGAAGAGATAAATTGGTATGGACAGCAGGCCTGCCAGTACTGAAGCAGTTAAAAGGCACATCAGGTAAATGGGGCTCAACAGTTAAGTCAGCTGCAGCTCTCACAAATCATCACGCTGTCAGTTTTGATTGATGAGTCTGTAAACATAGGAAAATCGTAGTTTTGGCATAGAAACATAACTCCTATAATCTCTTTGGAGACTAATTAAACAAGTACTCTTTCTATCAAAGTGTTTACTGTAAGACAAATCGAGTACACTGAATATATGAGGTTCATTAAAATTAACAGAGATTTGCAATCCTTTTATTTCTCTCAAAAAAAAAACCAACAACAAAAAAACCTACAGCAAAAATGTTAGTTTAGACCCATCTAATCAAAACTAACCAACCAAAAAAATTGTTTTCTCATACAAATGAAAATTAAATCATTTTGCATTACTGAAAATATTTTGCACTACCCATCTCAATTTTAGAAGGTTTACTTTTTCTTTTTTTTCCAATTTATCATTAAATTACAAAATTGAATTTAGGCCAATTTCAAAACCGAACTTCCATTTAGATTGAGTAGTTGTTTAGTTCAGGGAATGCTTGGGAAGATGATTTTGTTTTTCTACTCTTTGCTTCTGCCTCAAAGGCTGTATTGAACTCAACATCATAAATTTCAGATCGGGTGAACTTTTTTTTGTGTGTCAGTGAGTAAACCATATTTATGCAAAAATGCTTCACTGCATTTCTTGAGAAGCAGAAAGGCATTATAAAGAATTATCCCGGGTCTACATTTTCCTCTCTTATGCTGTGATCAGATTCCATTATTTTACATTCCAGTTCCACTGAAGTTATTACAAGAAGTCAAAGCACATAAGAGAACCCAACTGAAATGTATTTCTAACAGGACTGCTCCACGGCTATAGGGCTGACACTTTCCATCTTTTCACTCTCCTCTTGGCTATTAGTAGCAATGGCCAAGTCAGCACCAGACCACGTCCTAACATTCACCACTGTAGGTATTACAACAGCTCATCTATGCCAACACAAACCAAGGTTATTCCCTACCGCTCTCTCGACGATATACAAACCCAAATTCTGCTTTGGGAATGGATACCACTCAACACATCTCTGCAGCTGCTGTGCTAACTTTCTCTATTGCTTCCATGAATCTAAGAGACATCCTATGAGAATTTCTCTAAAAGTGTCTCATACTTCCACAAAGATCCAAATCCTGTTAGACAGATGCAGTCACTTGATGGGAAGTGAGTTCCTCAGAAAGTGCTAAAAATAATTTATATGCATAAATATGCAAATAGCATTTATGTTTCAAAGTGTTGAATGAAATTCCCCTTTTCAAGAATGACCTACGCAATACGGTGTTGTTATTCAAAACAATTAGTTTAGTGAAATTTAATCTCAAAGGCATAACATGCAAAAGAACACAATTAACAAACTAAAGACTCAGTGAAAGGTTTGATTTGTAATAAACATCTCAGCACATTACCTTTCTCATCACAACTCACTGCAGCCAGCCCTTGTTGCTGTGCTGTTTGAATTCAACATTAAGCTACTGGACTTTAATTGCTGTATTTACCACTTTAAGGAGCTTTTAGAATTATCCTACTGAAAACAAGCAGTTACTGAAGCTACAGAGAAAAGCATATTAAAAAAAAAAAAAAGTGTGCTCTTTGGTAGTCTCCCTCTTCTTTTTACCTGACTCTTACTACTTCTCAATGACAGATCAGGAGAGGGCTGAGCTTGCAGAGTCGTTGGGTCGCTGGCCTCGCAGCTTTCAGGCAGTGTTATCCTGAGTGCTGCAAAAGAAAAAGAAAAAAAGCAGATGGTTTAGTAGCACTGTGCGCTGTGAAATCCACTGCAAAGAGCCCCAGCAAGTCCTCGATCGTTCTCAGACAGACTTCTGGTGCCATCTAGTGACGAACGCTTCTTCCATTCTGCACATCTCTTTTCCTGCCCCCTCCTTACTCTCATATTAGCAAGCCATACTTCTGATTAAATCAACAGAACGCACACACACAACAAGAAGAAGAAAACTGAAATGCCTACAGCCGCATCATCACAGGTCCTGCACCTAATTTTGTATTTTTAACTCATTTCCACTATCACTTCTCTCTACATACTTCCTCCCATCCAAGCCCAGATCTCACTGCCCTTTTCTATCTCTTCAGCTCTTGCCAACTTCCCAGAGGCACCTGTACATATGGAGGATTCCTTCACAGGCTCAGTGTGTTACAGATCACTGGCCCCAGCAGAGGTCCAAACAAAAGGGGCAGGTAACAACACAGGTAGTTGGTTTGACCTGAGTTTGCACCAGACACGAGTTGTCTCAGTGCCAGAATCGAAGAATCATAGAATCATCAAGATCGGAAAAGACCTCCAAGATCATCTAGTGCAACCATGCCCACTGATCATCTCCCTCATTGCCAAATTTCTGCCTTCCTTGAACACCTCCCAGGGACAGGGTATCAACCACCTCTCTGGGCAGCCTGTTCCAGTGCCTGACCACTCTTTTGGAGAAGGAACTTTTTCTTAATATCCAACCTGAATCTCCCCTGGCACAACTTGAACCTATTCCTCTTAGTCCTATCCCTATTTACATGGAAGAAGAGGCCAACCAACACCTTGCCACAACCTCCTTTCAGGGAGTTGTAGAGAGCTGCAAGGTCTCCCTTGTGCCTCCTCCTCTCCATACTGAACAATCCCAGCTCACTCAACTGTTGAGGTGTTCCTGACACCTCACAACTTTGTTGTCCTTCTCTGGATACACTCCAGGGCCTCCATGCCTTTCTTGCAGTGAGGGGCACAAATGGAACACATTACCTGAGGGGTGGCCTCACCAGAGCTGCGTACAGCAGGATGATTACCTCCCTGCTCCCGCTGACAACACTATTTCTTATACAAGCTGGGATGTCACTGGCTTTCTTAGCCACCTGGGCACACTACTGGCTCACATTCACCTGAGTGTCAACCAACACCCTCAGGTCCATTTCCTCCACACAGTCCTCCAGCCACTCTGCCCCAAGCCTATAGCACTGCAGGGGGTTGTGGCCAAGGTGCAGGACCTAGCAGTTGGTGTTGGTGGTCCTCATCCCATTGGCCTTAGCCCAGCCCAGCCTGTCCCAATCCCTCTGAAGGGCCTTCCTACCCCCAGGCAGATCGACACTTCCTCCCAACTTGGTGTCATCTGCAAACTTACTAAGGGTCCACTCAATCCCACTGTCCAGGTCATCAATGAAGACATTAAAGAGGCCAGGCCCAAATACCAATCCCCAGGGAACACCACTCATGACTGGTTGCCAGCTGGATTTAACTCCATTCACTGCCACTCTCTGGACCCAGCCCTCCAGCCAGTTCTTTACCAAGCACTTTACCAAGTGCAAGTGAAAGGCTGCCAGCTTCTCTAGGACAACGTTTCTCTACGAAGCTGCATAAAACCCAGGGAGATCCTGCCACAGCAAGTGAACCCTGGAATACACAGAGCCTCAGGCTGGTTCCTGCTCTCTTTCTCCAAGGAGAGGAACACAAGAAGGAAAAACAGTGCCGAGTTGCACGAGGTTCATTCTCTTCAAGCATTATACTAGCTTAACTCCACACACGCCTATGCAATGCAATGAGAAAACCTAGGAGCTCTGTGAGATGCTTATGGAAAAAAGGCTTTTCCAGATCTAGACTATTGAACAGACCTGCCAGGATGTGCTCAACCTGTGCTTCAAATCCTTCCAGACAAATCAGGGAGAGTCTAGAAGTGTACTTTTTACATAACAGCAGCATGAAAAGCTAGCCAGGGTTGGAAGGGACCTCGAGGATCATGAATCTCCAACCCCCCTGCTGCATGCAGGGCCACCAACCTCCACATTTAATATTATACCAGGCTACCAGTGCCCCATCCAACCTGTCAAGGGCCCCATCCAACCCCATCAAGGCCTTGAACACCTCCAGGGATGACGAGGCATCACAGCCTCTCTGGGCAGCTGCTCCAGCACCTCACCGCTCTCTCTGTAAAGTTTCCCCCTGACATCCAATCTAAATCTGTCCAATCTAAATCTCCCCTCCCTCAACTTCAAACCATTTCCCCCTGTCCTGCAGTTATCAACCCTTTCCAAGAGTTGATTCCCCTCCTGTCTGCAGGCTCCCTTTAGGTACTGAAGGCCGCAATGAGGTCACCCCTCAGCTTCTCTTCTCCAGGCTGAAGAAGCCCAGCTCCATCAGCCTGTCTTTGTAGGGGAGGTGCTGCAGCCCCCTGATCATATATCAGTTCCATTGTAAGAGTTTGATTTCCCATTACGGTTTTGCAGGATGGTGGAATTACAAATATAAAATAGGTCAGATCCACCGGTGACGCGACAAGACGCTGAAGGCTACCGCAGCTGCGCCCGCGGAGGGTCGGGCCGCTACCAGGAGCGAGGCGCTCTGTGAAGGAGCGGCCAGGCGCCGGCACGGCTGCCCAGGGAGCGGCGGGGCCTCCGCCCTGCGGGCGCCCCAGGAGCGCGGAGCAGCGGCCCTGAGGGACGCAGTCTGCGGGCGGGCCGGGCCGGACTCGGTGATCTGAGGGAGCTTTTCCAACCCGGCCGATTCTCCGGTTCTAAGTGACGGCCGGACCGCGGCGACCGACGCGCAGGAATCCGCGCTGCGGTTCGGTGGCCGGGCCGTAAGGACGCGCGCCTCTGCTCCTCCCCGCGGCCGCTTCGGAACGCCTTCGCAGTCCGTCGGCCCGCCCAGCCGGAGTCCCGCCCCGAGCACGGGCGCCTCACGGCCGTGACGCCGGACCCGTTTCGCGCGTCGGTAGCGCCCCCGCCGCAGGCCGAGCCCAAGTCCCGCCCGTCCATCCGTACCTGGGCGCTCGCTCCGCCCTCCGCCGGGCTCTGCTGCTCCGGGCCGCTCGGGATCCACCGAGAGAGTGCGAACGGCGGAGACGGGGCCGCGCAGCTCCTGCCTGGAGCCAAGGCGAGGGGACAAGCCGGGGAGCGTGGGGCCGAGCCTTGGGGCTGGCGGCGGCCCCGGGTGGGGCGGGGCGGGAGCCCCTCAGCGTGAGGTGAAGCCCCGCCCCATCGCCCGCGCGGCGCCGGGCCCGGTCCGGCTCCTGAGCTCCGTCCGCCCAGAGCCGTTTTGTTCGATTCAGCCGCCGCTCCGCCCCTCGTCTTCTCCCATCCTTCCTGCGGAGCCGGGCTGCGGGTTCGTCCCTCGCGTAGCTCCGCGGCCACAGGAGGCCCGCCCCGAGGAGAGGCCGCCCCGCCCCGCTCCGCGGCGCCGCGTTTCTGAACGTCGCCGGCGATGCCGCAGCGCTGAGCTCGCGGCGCCATGGCGTCCGGCTGCGCGCCGCCGTTCGGGGACGCGGCGGAGATGCGGGAGGGCTTCTTGTGCCCGCTGTGCCTGAAGGACTTGCAGGCGTTCCAGCAGCTGCGGGCGCACTACGAGGAGGAGCACTTGGGCGAGGACAGAGACGTCAGAGGCCAGCTCCGAAGTAAGGGCCGCCGCGGTTTCCCGGCGTTCTCCCGTCCGCCGTGTCGAGTCCCGCACGGCGGAAGCCGCCGTGCCGCGGGCGCTCCGGATTCCTGCCGGCGCTGGAACGCCGACGGAAGCTCGGGACGAGAGAGGCCCGGGGCCCCGCTGCTGTACGCAGGGCCGGGCGCGTCGCGTTCCTTCGTTCCTGGCGCGGCCGCTTCCTGGTCTGCAGGCCTCCGTGCCGCTCGGCCGCGGCGCTTGGGTGCTGCGGGTTGCTGTTGGCTTTTGTTTGTTTTCTGGGCACGTTTTTTTACGTGAGAACTCCCGATTCGTAATGTAATGCACGTGAGTTTCCAGGCGTTAGTCGGAGGCCTTAAAGAACGGGGGAACCTCTGCTTCCTGCCAGGTACCAGCCTGGGACTTTACTACTGTGCTGTTATTGCTGTACTTAACGTCACTTAACATCATTTATAGCATTACACCTGCCACCCGGCTTTCAGCAGATGTCTAAGGGAATTAACTCTAGAAGATACTGAATGTGTTTACCAAAAGAAGTGGTGTCCTTACCTTCTGCCAACATAAAAATACTGGAGTTTGAAGTTTTCTTTTTAACCCAGGAAACTGCTCTCCTGTCACTAGCTGTTGTACAAGATAATGTGGTGATCTTTCAGTTCTTTTGAAATTGCTTGGGTGCACAGCACACTGATATTCTTAGCTTGTGCTTCTGTGCAAAAGTACAAAGAAGGTATGGAACGTCCTTGAATCCAAAGAAAATTATTAGGAATTAAGAGTGCACATACAATCTGCCAGTGCTCTATGAAGTAGGGTCTCACGGTTTGATACAGTCCACTCTTTTATAGTGATGCCCTTGTATGGAATGCCTAAAATTACCTGTTTGTCATTAGGACAGCAGCACTACTTTAACAGAGAACAGAAAGCATTTCCTGCCATTGGTGACGCTGAACAATACATTGGTTCTTAACAGAGCATATTGACCTGTTGTGAAGGCAAGAGATTGGTTCCAGTTGGTAAGAAGTACACCATCCTAGTTTCACAAGATGAATACTGAGAGGCGAACTGCCTGCTCTTCTTTATGCGGGCTTGTCTATTTTCAGGTCTTGTCCAGAAGGCCAAGAGAGCAAAGAAGAAATTGCTGAAACGAGAAGGAGATGACAGAACTGATTCTGGATCTCAGGAACGATATGAGTCATTCAGCTATGGTGGCATAGATCCATACATGTGGGAGCCCCAAGAGCTAGGTAGGTGAGCTTGAGAGCGATACATGGTGGAGGTAACTTTTAATTTTAATAGGGAAAAAGTGAGTATTGCTGAAGCTGTGTGGAATTGTTTGTATTACATATGATTTACTGTAGTGTGGAGTCATGGCTTGCATATCGATCCTCTGCTGCCTGCATGCATTGTATAGGATGATAAGGAAAGTGTAGATTAGGGGTGGGGAGGGAAGATCTATAGAGCTAGGATGTAAACTATTCTCAAAAGCAGTCATTTCATTGGGTCTGAGCTATGGAGTTCTTTTTGGTACATATTTCGCTCTGTGCATCCAGCTTTACCGTTTCTGCAACCATCACCATCTGGCTTCTTACAAAACAGGTGATAATCCATTATTATTCCACTACTATTTAATGTTGCTACAGCCGTGTTAAATCTATGGCTTTTTGGTTACTCTTAAAGCAGGTGTTTTGCCAGACATATAAACTATTGCTTATCCCTTAGTTCAAACTCCACCAGCTATTTCTTTGGATTTGAGGTACAGGTAATCTATCATTAAGTCATTTGACTTTAAAAAGTAAGCAGCCAAACTCTGGCTGCAGGGTCAGACATTGCAGAAGTTAGCAAATATGTTGAATGAGTCTGTACTCACAGATACTGTTACTGGAAGTTGCCTTTTACTATTATAGAAATGCTGTGGTTATTTTCAGGTGGGAGGAGGCAGCACTGTCTCTGGTGGGTCCTGAAAGTTCTGCTGTGGTGCTGACAGATGAGGAATTTAGTCCTTTGGCACTGCAGAATCCAAGCTTTGCAGATAACTGGCTTTTTTTTTTTTTTTTTTAAATAACCAGAGTGGAGAAGATGAATCTTGCAGATTTTAACATGATTTGGTGGAGGGATGTAGGGCTTTCTATAATGTCTCCGCTGCAGAGATTGAATCAGGTTACTCAGAGGGGCTCTCCCCTTCCTATGAATTTGGCTACAGAGAGGTTTCTACGTATTTCATTACAACAAGGAAGTGACATTGCACAGTTAGTGTCAAAGAGCAACATCTGCTTTTGTTCTACTAGTCAGAAGAGGAAGAATTTTTGACTGTAACTCTGATTTTTTTAATATCTGGCTTGTGGAAAAGATCAAAACCTAAACCCAGGTTTATTGAGAATGAATTATATCTTTAAATAGATGCTGTATTCTTCTTTTGTATACTTGTGATGAGGTTTCTGCAAATCTGTGATATGATCAAGGATTTGGTTCAGACCCCTAAAGGTGAGAAGGATGATAGCAATCTGGAAGAAGCTGCTGTTGCATGGGCCTCAGATAATCATTGGACTTGCATCTTGTGTTTGTTCCAGATGTAGTAAGGAAATAACAGGAGCAGTTCTTGACAACAAGACTGGCTGGTAACACCTTACCAGATGTAACTGAGGGATAAAGATGACAAAAAATCTGTTGCAGATGTTTTCTTTAATGTAGACTTCTTTGCTTTACTGTAGCAGAAATAAAACACTGCTCTTTGCTAGCTGGAGGCTGGCCTGCGTGCTTTATTCAGTACCGTGAAAACTTGGAATTCTAATGTGTCAAAATTTCATTTGAATCTGAAAAAATAAATGGTGGGAAAAAAAAGGAAGAGCTGCATTTTGAAAGGTGTTTAAATTCGTGTAGAACACGGAGTGACTCTGAGTTCTCTCTCCCTAAGGTGCTGTGAGAAGCCATCTTTCCAATTTCAAGAAATACCGAGCAGCCAGGATTGATCACTATGTAGTTGAAGTCAATAAGTTGTTAATCAGGTTAGAAAAGGTAATCTTGTTACTACTTAATATTCCAACCATTTAAATGTTTCTTAAATAAAAAATTCTATTTTAGTGCAAAGGGTGCCCATTTATGTGGCAGTGCAATTGTTAAACAGTAGTAAACTGAGTCTTTTCACATCTTACTGTCCTCCCTTTATATCCTTGTGTAGTGTGTTTGGTTATACTCTGTACTGTGGGGATGATTTCTGTTTCTGTACAGTATTTTCAAGCACAAGATGCTACTTCACGTGCTTTCTTCATCTTTTACTTTACAGGATTACTCCTTTTGCTTTTATCAAGCTATTTGTTCTGTAAAATCCTCCACTTGCCAACTTGCATTTTCACTCAGACACGATAATGTTGGATGATATAAGAATTGTGTCAAAATATTCTGACTCTTGTAATTTTGGCAGTAACTGTTTATCACTTGTCTGAATCTTAATGCCAAATTCAGACATCTTCCTATTTTATCTTTTT